AGAAAGGTTAAGTTTCCACAGTAGCATTGAGAACTTTTCATAATCCATTCTCCACCTCTCTTAGCAACCTCGTCTCCCTTAACTCTCCTTCTACCCAGGCTGCTTGACTCACTAATTTATTTCCTTTTCTCTATTACTGCTTAGGCCATACTCATCCCTGTTCCTCACACTAGCCTAAAGCCTATCTATAAAACTAACATAAGTTCTATCTTCTTGGAATTGATCAGTCTGGCCCTTATCAATGCCTTCATTCTCTGAGCTTTTCAATGACAGAGTCAGATGAACACACTCCCCTACACACATCCTTTGCCCTCCCTCCCATTACATACATGCTGGTCATAGTCCATAACCATCGCACCGAGATTTCACTTTTTACATGAGAATGCCATGTCTCCATTGAAATGTAATTTCCAGGAGGGCTAGATTTCGTGTAATCAAGAGAAAATAGGGCAAGGATATAGCATTTTAGTCTCAGATCTATTGGGTACATGAAAGAACAGATCAGAAAACTGTGAGCAGCAGTCTCAGGGTTAAACACAAAGCATGTGATGGGTCTGTAGAGGCTTAAACGCTTGCCCTTAATGAGGTTTCTTGTTTTTAGGTTCTCACCTTGACATGCCCTCAGCTCTATCAACAGCAAACTATAAAAACTTTCCCCTGTGGATTGTGTAAGTCATTTAAGATGCCTCAAATCCTCTGGGGATAAGGCATGATATAATAAAATAAAGGTCAGGAGAAAAGTTGGAGTCAGCTCCTTAGACTTCGCTACTATACTGGGATGCAGCATATGAAATAGTAGAAGCAAGAGATCGGGGGTTAGCCCAGCCGGTGTGGCTCGGTGGTTGGGCATCAGCCTAGGAATCAAGAGGTCATGGTTCAATTCCCAGTCAGGGCACATGCCTGGGTTGCAGGCTCAATCCCCAGTATGGGGCATGCAGGAGGCAGCCGATCAATGATATTTCTCTCTCACCAATGTTTCTATCTCTCTAGTCCTCTCTCTAAAAATCAATAAAAACATATTTTTTTAAAAAGAGAGAGAGATCTGGGTTAAATTCCTGACTCCTGAAACGCAATGGCTTTAGAACTTGGTTAAACCCTTAACCTCTCTGGGATACAATTTCCTCATCTAATAATGTAGATTAATCACTTAACCACTCAAGGTTCCTGTGAAAGTTATATGAGTTTAATACATATATAAAGCAAATAGCAGAGTGCCAGAAAGATAACATTTGCTTAATTATTCATTATTAAAACATTAAACCAACCCACTTATCCTTTGCAACTCCTTTAAAGTAGAGAAAGGGAGATTTTTTTTCCCTCTTTAAAGGTGTATCAGGAGCAACTTGCTGACACCCACTGAGGCCTCAGTCCTGAACAAGGAGTCCTAATCCTAATACCCAATGTACAACAGAGTTGTATTTATGGCCAATCTCTGGGGGGGGGAAGCTAGATTAGATTCTTGTCATACTTGTTGTAGTAACTGAGTCTTTCCAACATTAAGAACTCTCAGTTTGATAAAGGAAAAAGTGGGAGGCTTAGAGAATTAATCAAGCTGGACTCCCATAAAAAGAAAAGAGATAAACAGTGTTCCATAAAGCATAAAAGGTAAACCCTTCAAACCCTTAAAGGCACTTGAGATTCTGACCACTGCCTTTGACAATTCTTTGAGCACCTATTGTCAAACCAAAGTGGCAGGAATCACAAAATAACAGGCGAAATAGGCCAAAGAATCCTGAACTCTTGGAAGTGGAAAAACCTACAAAGTTATCCGGCCTAAGTAAGCCTCTCCTTACAAAGTTGAGGAAGTTGGTACAGGAGAGAAGCCAAATTGCATGCCAAGCTTCTCTTTGTCTCCCCAAATTGTTCTAATTTTCCTAAGACTTCATTATTTCCTTTAAGGTAACCAAGATCAGACGGTTCATCTGCCTTGCAAAATGGATCCAAACACTGGGAATATTTAAGACTCTTGCCCCTGACACAACACTGCTGCCAAAAAGAAAGGAAAGGTATGTACATATTTGCAGTTACCTGATTAAACTATCAAGTCCTTGCATAGGAAGTTGTACACAAACAGTGACAATACTACCTACAAACAGAAATGAGAACTAGAGGCTTTTCATAGTTCTACAGAAAGAAAGATCTCTATGGGACTACCAAAATCACTGGAAGTTTCTAGTGGTGGTAACTTACTTCTTGCTTGTTTATCTGCATGATGACACAGGGAAGAAAAGCAAACTAGACTGAGAGACTTCTTAGGAGTACCAGCTCTGGGAGGTGATAAACAGAAACTTGATACCTTTTCTTGTTAATTGAAGCACCCAAACTTCAAATGACGGATTTAATCTAAGTGCAATCCAAAATTTGTGGCTCTACTCTCTAAAGTTCATCAACTTATATGAGTATGACATGAACACACTTAAGAAATTTAAAGAAGTCACCCGGTGAATAAATCCATTCATTTTGAGGGTTTTTGTTTGCTTGTTTTTGTGTTTTTTAAATATGTTTTTATTGATTTTAGAGAGAGAAGAAGGGAGAGGGAGAGAGAGAAACATCAATGATGAGAGAGTCATAGATTGGCTGCGTCCGGCATGCCCCCCACTGGGGATGGAGCCCACAACCCGGGCATGTGCCCTGACCAAGAATCGAACGCTGACCTCCTGGTTCATGGCTCGACCACTGAGCCACACCAGCCATTCATTTTGAATAAATGTACGTATAATACAGAAATTAAAACACTTTTGAGTGAAATATATTAGCTAAATATAATTATTATTCTTAATTAGTCCCTTGAAGTTTGTCCAAACTCCAATGATTCAGAAAAAAATGCTAACATTAGGAACTTTAGGTCTGCAAGATCAACATGGAATTTTAGTGAATGGTGAACTAAACATTAAGCAACACTGTTAGGCAAATACCAAAAAAAGGTGAAGCAATACTATACTGAACTTTAAAAATATTTAGTGACTGGAACATGCAAGATCATTTCAGAGTTCTGCTCTGCTCCAGTCAGGAGATACTGAAAATACTGTTGGATACCACAGCCCAAGGTCTATGTCAAAGTACGTTAAATTCCTAACAGACAAGAATCAAACCTCAAATCACATCACAAGACAACAAGTATAATAACTACAGGTATTTAGGCTATAGAAGGAAGAGACAAAACAGGAGGAGGACAACTCGATGCCTTTAAATACAGGGGGTCCCAAAAAAATGTGTACAAACTTTAACAGCTGATAGCTCAATTTTGAAAATGAAATGTAAATAAACATTGCTTTTATAATTATTCAAAGTGTGTGTATACATTTTTGGGGGGGACACCCTATATTTGCAGGGAAATCAGAAAAGGAACTACCATTGTTTTAATGGGCCCTTAGGAGAAGAACAAGTACCAATGAATGAAAAACAGATTTTGGTTTAATAATAATTTTCCATGTTAGCTTCAAAGACAATAAATATTGAGAGTGAAAGGAGAAATTAATACAGAACGGGAAAAGTGAACCTAAGAAACAGGCATAAGAGCTTTTGACAAAAGTTTAGGAGCTCATACGGCGCATGACACTAAACCATACAGATTAGCAATGAATTATATTGATAAGTCAACTTCCAATTTTTTATAACCAGAAAGAAGGCAAAGTATGAATGATTCTGAAAGCCATATTTTGTGGAGAATAATCTAAGTGGTGGTCAAGCTACTGCAAAATTCCAGGTGAGAAAATATCATTGGACTGTTCTAGGTAGTGGTGATGGGAACAGAAAGGAGTGGAAGGCTCACAGAAACATTTCAGAGATTGCGCTCTTGGTACTTGATGACTTATTGGAGACTCTCAGGATAACAGTATTGAGTGGGATTTACTGTGTTATTAACAGTAACAACAGTAATAGTAAATACTTACATAGTGCTAACCCTGTGTTAGGACATGTTCTAAATGTTTTACATAGTTTAATTGATTTCATTCTCATAACCCTATGAAGTGTATTCTATTATGCACATTTTACGGAAGAGAAACTAAGGTTTCCATCAGTCAAACTGAACAGAGAATAAATATCAAAGAACTGGTAGGAAATTAGATACCAGATCTGAACCTACATTATCCCACAGCTAAAACTCTGAATCCATACACTACACAGGTGTAAAGGAAACGCAACGAAATTTGAGGCAGGCAGCATGCAGTAACAGTAACAGGCTCAGTGAGTGAAGAACATCAGAGGGAAGAGGGCTGTAGGTGTGAGAATTTGGCAGTATCAGAATCAGAGAACCATGATCCATGTCAAGAAACAGAAAATCGTTGGCGCTCCAGAAGCATGATGCGCTTGTTTAAAAAAGAAAAACAAAACAAACACACACAAAAACACCAACACATAAAACACCCGCATTAAATCTAAATTCCTAGAGACAGGGCCTAGTAATTTTATTTTAAAAGCAAAACCCCAAACGCCTGAGTAATTAATTCTGAGGCAGAACCAGGTTTAGGAACTTCTGTAATAGATCTCTAAGGTCTCTTTATAATTTAAAATTCTAGATGACACGAAATGAATTTCCCAGAAGTGAACAGCGGGAGGGAGGGATACTAGCACCAAGAAAACGGCTGTGCATTTTACAGTCTACACCGTTTATGCTCCCATTTTTACTATACAGTCCTCTCATAGAACAGGTATAGCCCAGGCAATGGGAGGAGAGGTGTGTTGTTCATGGTGTGCTGGCTAAAAAGCAGGCTTTCCCCCAGGATTTTCTGGTACCATTCGCAGAAAGAAACCTGTCCTGACTATAATAGAGGCGGTAATCAATTGAAAAAATGAGATGGATTCCTCAGGTCCATGTCTGGCTAACAGTGGGTACCAATATATTCTTCTACGTGCTCAAAAGCATCGCAGGTAACCTCTAGGTTGGGGCCTGTCTGCTCTGAGGCCAAAAAATCTGGCTTAGCAGAAAAGGTGTCTGCTCTGCAAGCACACCTCAGTACGCCGCTCCCAAAGATGACCAGGACCTGTTCCGGACGTACCTGAGGGTCCTCTGGTAAGATTGATCTCTTCCTCTATGACCAAATAATCCACTCTTCCGTTCATGTTTTACTACCTGCCTGGTTTCCCACTTGGTCCACTAAGGCTCTCACAGGTGAAGGTGAATCAATCTCAGCAGGGCGCCTAAAACACCGCACTTTCAGTTTCAGCGGCCCCTAGACCGGAAGAGGAAGCCGGGAACGCTGGGAGCGCCAGGAATGCTGGGAATTGTGGTTCCGGTGGCGGGCGCGTTGCGACGTCTTCGCCGGCCGTCCGGCCTAGTGTGAGGTGAGCAAAGAGCTAGTTACTGTTGAGGGTGGGGACGGAGGGAAGGTAAAGGTAAGAGGCGTAAGTAAATTCAGTGTGGAGGAACATGAAAACTAAGACCTCCTGCTACTTCAGGAAATCTCCACAATGAAAAGGGAAAAAGAAGAACTGTGTTATTCAGTACGCACTAAACCAGACTGGGCTGGGCGTCTCCGGCAATCTGCTCTTAGGACTCAAAGACAGAAACCTCACCCTTTTATGTAGCCAGGCCGATACAGTGCACGTTTTCACGTAAGAGGACTTCCAACAACACCGTTTGCTATACCACCTTTGGTAAGTCACCTTTTGGGTGGCCATTATCCAGAGTGAAAAATAAAACTTTTCTATCTCTATGGCAAGCAGGCCCTTACAGCTTGGAGCAAGGCCCCTATCGACATATAAAAGGGGCAGTGGAAGGATTTATGATTACAAGTTCGCTCAAGAAGATACCTTAAGAAAAGGGGTAAAGTCCTCTTTCTTCTAGTAAAAGAGAAAATGCAATCTTAAAAAAAAAAAAAAAAATCCTTGCAATAAGACTAGTGGGTGAACTGTGACTTCAGCCGGGCCTTCCAGACCCTGAAGGTGGAATTCCAAAACAGGGCTTGAAGGAAGCTTAAGGGGTCAAAATCTGACAAGCCTTAAGGGCCAAGAAGGTGATTTAAATGTGGGAACAACCTGGAGTTAGACCACAGCAGTTAGCGGGGACTCTGGGGGACTGAACAGTGCAGTTCCAATTAAGGCATTCGAATTCAGATTAAATAATTAAAACAGAAGCTACAGTGTTTACCAAACAAAGAAAGAAAGAGGTGGATTCCTCAGGAAGGCCTTTTATTTGCTAATCCTGAGAGAAGTTAATAGGAAACAGTGGAAAAGAAAACGAGATAATGTTAGAAGGCTTGATCTCAAGTTTCGATTTTATCTTCTTCCAGTTGTCGAGCTTTGAGCAGGTAACATAATTGTCTCCCTTGTTTCCCCATCTGAAAAAGGGCATAATCATAGATCTTTAAAAGGTTGTTGAAAGGATTAAGTGAGATGAAATTTTAAAGCTTGCGCCTCAACTTCAAACTCAGATCCCTACCACCCTCACTTCCAACCCTCCTCAACATAAGTTGGTTGAATGAGTGAATAAAATGATCATAATAAAACATGGAGTATGATAAATTAAAAAAGTATGGTATAAGTAAGAGACGCTGGAATACTGAGAGGGAAGAGATAAAATAGAAATAGGAAAGGGAAATCAAGGAAGTTATCAATGAAGAAATTTGGAGGGGAAAAAAGTTTCTTGGGGACTACTGGGGGAAATCACTAGCCTGTACCTAGGAAGATTACCTTTCTCACCTGAGCACACAGCTTTAAGAGAAACACGTAGGACAGTAAAAGGAAGAGTCACCAGTTATTTGCTCAGGAAACTATGTTCAGGAAATGCTGGTAATAAGTGGGGTGACAGATTAGGCATGTAAATTGACTTTATATCTTAATGTAAGTATAGTTTTTTAACAATGAGGAAACTTTAATATGTATGAAGAAAGAAAACAGGATATATGGATTTCTGCTCAGAGAGAACAATTCAGAAAAATGATGGAATCAGGATAGTAATGGGTGGGGGTGTTTAGAGAATAGCAAATACAACAGAGCCTATGAGTAGAAAAAGCATGACTTGGTAGGTGATGACACTGAAAAAATCGGCTACAAACAGATGGTGGAGGAACACTATGGCAGAGATATTCACTTAATTCTATATGCAATAGGCTAAGATGGAAGTTTATTTCTCTTGTATTAAAGAACTCTGGAAATCCATAGTTCAGGCCTCACCTCATATCAAGGCTCCTTAGTCACTGAGGCCCAGGTTCCTTCCAGCTTTCTGTCCTCTCTCCAGCCCCCTCCCCAGAGTGTGGCCTTTGCTTCATGGTCCAAAATGGGTTTTGGAACTCCCACCCTCATCTTCACACTCCAAGAAAGTAGTGAAGAAAAGGCAAAGAAAGTTTCACTCCATACTTTTATGGAGACCTCTTGGAAGTTTCATACACTTCTTATATCTCAGCCAGAAATCTGGTCTTACGGTTATACTTAACCGTAAGGGAGGCCTAGGATATGTCATATTTTAGTGAGATAGAAATGTGCCAACTGAAAGAAACCAGGATTACTGTTATAAGTAAAAGGTGAGAATGGATATTGGTAGTCTGACACACAAAGTGACAGTCTGAACTAGCCTTTCTACTTAAGGCCTTATGACTTTGAGGTATGTAAAAAGTATGAATCTTGGTTACTTCAGCCTACTGTTTTTACAAGATTAGTGGAAACTTTGCCTCACAGCTTGAGGGACTTTATTCACAACTTGCTCTATTTTTGCATATTTCGTGTCATGTAGTCACTTTTTCTTCCCAATCTCCTGTTTGCTCCTACCCCCTCCTACTTCAATATTTTATTGAAAACACTGACAGCCAGGTGTATCATAATCAATGCCTAAGTTATGACCTAGTGAGTGTGCCCCAATCGTGGCACCTAAAAATAAGTGATAATCCGCTATACATACATGTGCTACTCTCCAATTGGGGTTGCATACTACATCAAAGTTAGAAAAGTAGGTCGCCCCATGTATTTCATGTTCTGTAAGAAGCAATGAAGTATCATGAGGAATAGTGAATCACCATCCCCAATATTTCCATAGACCAAATCAATTTATAGCAGCTGCAACATTGGGCCAGTTATACATATCCACCTAATCCCACCCATTTCATATACATAACATATGCATGTGGACCTCTAGAGTATTATGGTTACAAATGCTATGCAGGATGCTATTTATGACCACTGCATTCTCTATTACATGTGTCTCATTATTGTACATTTGAAAGCTGTCAAGAGAATAGGTCTTAGAAGTTCTCATCACAAGAAAAAGTTTTTAACTATGTATGGTGAAGGGTGTTAACTAAATTTATTGTGGTGGTCATTTCTCAATATATACATATATGAAATAATTATGTTATACAACTAAAACTAATAGGATGTTATATGTTAATTATGTGTCAATAAAACCCAAAAACACACACACGCAAAAGACAAAAACTAAAAAAGAATGTGTATACTTTTATTTTTCTACTTTAAATTTTTAAAATATTGACTTCACATTTTGTGATAATATACTTTCAAGGTCCATTTCTTTTTTATTTTATTTATTTTTCAGTTACAGGTGTATTTTGCTCTTGTTGGGTAGAGAATTCTGTGTATCTCTGTTGGTCCAATTGGTTCAAGTCCTAGTACCTTATCAATACTCTGCCTCATTATATCAAATATTTATAGTGGTATGTTGAACATCCAACTATTTTTATAAATCTGTATTTTCCCTTTCAATTCTGTCAATGTTTGCCTCACATATTCTGGAACTCGGGTGCTTGTGACATATATGTTTATAATTATTATATCTTCTTGGTGAATTTACCCTTTTATAAGTACATAATGTCCTACTTTGTCTCTTTGTACAGGTTTTCCCTTACCATTTGAATATATTTAAAACAGTTGTTTTATAGCCTTTGTCTAGTAAGTCTGATGCCTGTGCTCCACTGGGGATGGTTTCTGTCAGCTTAGTTTGTTCCTTCAAATGAGCCACGGTTTACTATAGTTTTGTATGTGTTGTGATTTTTTAGTTGTTGAAAATTGGATATTTTATTAAAGTGTGGTAACTCCGGAAATTATTTTCATCCTTCCTAGTGATGCTTTTTAAAAATTTGATTGTTGCCCTGTGTAGTGTGGCTCAGTTGGTTGGTGCATCGTCCCGTGGACCAAAGGGTCATGGGTTTGATTCCAGGTCAGGGCACATACCCAAGTTGTGGGTTCAATCTCCCGGTCAGGGCCTATACGAGAGGCAACAGATCGATGTTTCCCTCTCACACCGATGTTTCTCTCTCTCCCTCTCCCTTCCTCTTTCTAGAATCGAAGAAAAACATATCCTTGGGTATAGATTAAAAAAAATTTGTTGAAAGTCACTGGAGACTTTTTCAAACAAAAGTTTCAAAGACTGCTCAGGGTTATGGGTGCTCTCTGAAGACTGTTCCTTTAGCTCGTCTTGAGCTTATATGTTCACAGAGGTTCCCATGAATTCCTGAAGCAATTTGAAGATGGCTCATTCCTTTTTGTTGTTGTTGTTAATCCTCTCCTGAGGATATTTTTTCCATCGACTTCTAGAGAGAGTGGAAGGAAGGGAGGGAAGGGGAGAGGGAGGGAGAGAAACATCGATGTGAGAGAGACACATCAATTAGTTGCCTCCTGCATGTGCCTGGACCAGGGCCAGGGATGGACCCTGCAACCCAGGTATATTCCCTTGAAGGGGAATTGAACCCATAACCCTTTGATATGCTGGCCTACGCTCCAACCACTGAGCAACACCAGCCAGGGCAAAGATGGCTTATTCTTGATTGGGCCTTTTCTTGGTTGCTGGAAACATTTATTTTTTTCCCCTGATCTCCTATAAAGTTGGTTCAGATAGTTTCTAGTTGTTTTTCTTTGGTTTTACTGTGGCGGAAGGAGAGCTTGGAGCTTCCTAGTCTGTCATTTTACTGATGTCACTCTCAGTACAAAACTTTTAAAAGTTGTATGATTTACACTGACCAGGTGGCTCAGTTGATTGCAGCGTCATCGTATCCATGGAAAGGTTGCCGGGTGTGTACAGGAGGTAGCTGATCAGTCTCTCTCTCTCTCTTTTCCTCTCTCTCTAAAATCAATGAACATATCTTCAGGTGAGGATAAATAAGTAAATAAAATCTGTATGATTTCACAAAACAACACAGAGTAGTTCATTAAAACCCACAAATTGTTTCAAGACTGCCACTTAGCAAAACATGGTCCTGTTTCATTTATCACCATAGGGAATGGTATGAATTACAACTATTGCAAAATCCATCGAATTACCTCTCATTTTCATATATATCCAAACCTCTTTCTTTTTTCTTTCTGTAATAGTAGAGCCTAATTCTACCATAAGTACACCTTTGCTTATAAAATATTAATTTATATTCTGGTCCATGATATTCTTAAGAATCTTACTGACTCTAAAACCATGATTTGTTTAAAATCTCATGCAGTTTTTCAATTGGAAAAATACATGAATCAGCGTCCAATTGTCTCCACATCCTAACTCTCATATTGAATACCCCCACACTTACCACCCTCCTTCCTCCTCCCAAAATACCCACATTACCCTCCCTTAAGCAGGAGATAATATAAGTTGGTACAAGTTTTGACAGGTGAGATGCAAAAGAAAAATTCACAAAGACTTTTTTCTGACTTTCGGTTTTTTA